CGCCTTGTTCGTAGCATTTGGGTTTGGAACACAGATGCAGTTAACTCACTGCTTAACGCCTTCTATCATACTCTCTGAAATGCCGATCTGCTTCCTCAGCTTCCACGTTAGGAAAACAAAACCAACAATCTTTCTTCAAGTGATTTATTTTTTTAAATGATGAGAGATCCAAACTTGAATTCGGCACACAGCTTTCTCTGCTCTCATTCTCTCTTAAAAATAAGAGATTAATTGTTATGCAGCAAACTGGGGATAACATCACTTTCTAAAAGTTTCCTTCGCAGCTCTTGTCTTTATTTCACAAATTCTTTTCCAAATCTCATGTTCTCAGTGTTGCCTGAGAGAATGTAATTAACTGTTAGTATAAAAATCCCTCTAAGTGACAGATTGAATATATATACACATACACACGTACATACACACACACACACACACACGTTTTGGGGGCTGCTATTCTCTTGAGTAATCTGAAAGCAGCTGCACAGGGTAAGAAGCTTTTCTGTTCAAATACGACATCTTTTAGCTATAATGGCACCAGCCCACTAGTCAGGAGATTTCTGATCCTTTCCCAGCACTATTACTGACTTGCTGCTATGAGACTTCAAGCAAAGCCATTTTCCCTCACTGTGCTTCTCTGCTCACTGCTCTTAGAAGCCTTTATTCACACTTTAAGGCCATTTTCAGATGTTCTGAAACCACTTAGCCCATACACTCTGGGGGATAATAGTCTGCTCCACTCTGCCTATTCCTCACAGCAACAGATCTCAGTATTCAAGCACAGCATTCACCAAAAACATTAAGAAGGAGTAGGAAGAGGGAATCACCCCACTTCCTGACGTTATCACAAGGGAAACATGCACAAGCTATTTGGGGCTTGCTGAAACTGCTATGAACATTTATCTTAGCCTCTATATTTCTTCCCATTAAAGAGCTCCCTTGAGTTTCTGTAGCAGAAGTGATGCTAATAGTTCAGAGAAGGTCCCTCTGGGAACACATGCTTGGAAGCCAAGAGTGCTGCTCACCCAGGCTCAGCCCTAGGAGGGAGCAAAGACCATGGGTGCCACAGAAGCAGCTTAAACACTGGGAGCTTTGCTTCTGCAGCAGCAGTAATTTAAGGTACAAAGAGAAACATTTAAACTCCAAAGCGTACTTACGTGTGATTGGATCCAAATGTAGATGATTCCTAAAGGAGTTACAGCAGAGTTTAGAGTTACAAAACGGAGGATTCTCGAAGTGCTACTTGTGCTTCCTGTCCATCTCCTTTCAGGAACAAGGAAGCTTTCTATTCTGAATGCCTTTGATCTCAAATTTCGATGAAACTGCACCCTCACTGCCCATGTCTGAGCCTACAGGCACTGCACTGCAGTGACCTGCACTGGAGGGAACCAAAGCACAGCTGCTCTGTGAGGCCTGCACAGCTGAGCAGCAACAGCATGTCAGAGCCCTCATCTCCAGGGTTAATCCCACACGAAAAATGTCATCGTTTTCCCATTCAGACTTCACCCACAACACAGCAGCACCTGCATACTACTTGCAAGGAGTCACAATAGAACACCAACTTTATCCATTTTCTACATATAACTACACACGGAGCTGATACTACACAAAAGCACACCACCACCACACTGATCACTGACAGCATCCAAAATATTTTAAACCAATCCTGATAATTTTTTTTTAATTAAATTTTGTTTTTAAACCATCCTTTTTTGGGGGTATTTGCTGACCAACAGTTCCACAGTCATTACTCAGCAACAGATGGATTTCTATGTACACCTGTGAGGCCAGCAGCTAACGAGAATGCAGGTAGTTACACACTCAGCAGCACCCAAAGCAAACAGCTCTCTTGAAGATTTTTGGCTACCTCCAACATTCCCACCTTTCTCCCCACATAGGGAACACTGCCTCCACCCTATCCAGCTCAAACACAGCTGGAGCCACGAGTTTTAAACCAGGAGACCTGCCCATCCTTCATGGCAGTGGATGCTATTGGCCAAGTGTCAGAGTGCACCACATGAAGAAAAAGCATTTGCATTAGAACCAAGAATAAGAGAAGTCTGTAGAAAGAACACAGAAGCATTTCACTAGATTTGAACTTTCACAAGGTTTCATACTGTTGTGAACTTGCCACAATTAAGACATTCATTTTGGCAAGAGCACAAACCGTAAAGAAATTCCCCTACCCTTGCCACTGCTTCCTTACTTCTCATGGTTCCTAAGCATGCCAATTATCTAGATAAGATTTAGCATAGTAAGAGCTTAGAACATTTCTAATGGCTGTGCAGAGACATTTTACCACTGTGTGTATACATATATACATATATATATACACACACACACTTATATACACACATGCATCCCAAGAACAACATACTGCTGTGAAAGGAAACCTATGAAGTTCTGTCCTCACATCACATTTATCAGACAACACCAACATGTTCTCTTTTCCTCTGCCAAGAAAAGCCTGGTGTTTACACAAGTGAAGCAGAAAGCAAATGGCTGTTAAAACTAATTGCACTGTCAGTAATGGAGAGCAATATTGAAAAGCAGCTCCTTCACAAAGCTATCAGCATTGCCACTCAGCAACCTTCACTGAGAAGGCTGGAAGGCATCTGGTGCGAAAGCTATAGTTAGGAAACTGTTCCTTTCACTCCTCTAAAGGAACATTTCCATTTCTGCCTCTGCTGCATAAGAAAAAGCATTAATATCCCGATGCAGTGTTGTAATGACTCCAGGTTTCTCAAAAATATAAGAAAATAGAAACAACAGCTACAGCAGTGTTGTAGCACACAACCCCACAGACAACATCTTGCTGCCTGTTGCCATCAAGAGAGCAATGCTATGCTGTAAGAAGTACAATTTCAGTAGAGCTAGAAAGCAGCAGTGTCAGCCAGAGAGACAGGAGTGCTGTCAGAGCAAGAGGCAGCCCAGGCTGGGAGAGCCACTCCTCCTCCCATCTCCTTTCTGGGCAGCATTACCCTGGACTGCTGAACCTGTCAGCACACCCACAGATAACTGTAGCACAGAACAAGGGCAGGTGAGCAGCAGAAGGAGATAAGGGAGAACAGAGATAGCAGTCCTCAGCTCCACCGTGAGCTGTGTAAGTACACCCAGTTGCACCCAGAGACCAGCTAGGGACAGCACATCCCTCACCATTCTTAAGGAAGCAGCTGCAGGAACATTAGTCTCCATGTGAGGGGCTGCAGGGCAATCCCATGCACACGGATGGGCTAAGGGCAATGTCCTGCTGGAGTCAGAGGGTACTGAGGCGCCCAGGACACACATAGCGCCAGAGGAGCTAAAAGCAGTAGGAGGAGCAGTAACAAAGACTCAGAAATACAACCTCCCAGTCTTAGGCTTGTTGCCGTCACTCTTGTTAAACAATCCTTAAATGATGTGCATGTAAGCATGTTCTCTCCGCTCCCTGCCTTCTTGCACTCTTCCTGGACCGCCCTGTCCCTCCCTCCCCTCACGTGCTCCAGCAGCACAGCGGGCAGAAGTGCTCTGCAGCAGTTGCATTTCCTCCTTACGCACTCCAGGCCCTGCTCTGGCAGAGAGGAGCACGCAGCAGAAGGTCCTCCAAGCTCTTCCAGAAGCAGCAGCACCACGCACCGTTTTGCCCAGTGCGTGAGATCAGGCAGCTTTCCCCTCAGCCATGCTGCCAGCACAGCTGCCTGTCACACCATTCCTTAAGCCAGGGCTGCTCAGCTGGGTGCCTGTGGGTGGTGAGGGCAGGATATCTCCACACAAAATCCAAGCCTTGCCTGTGGACAGGGAAAGATGGAGGTGGAAGAGGGCAGCACACTCTGCCCCTCCCTCACACCCTGCGTGCTGCCCACCCTCTTGAGACCAGGAAGGCCAAGAGCAGCCCCCAATAACAACCCTTTCTTTGACAGCACACCACAAAAATAAAGAAACCATTTGAAGCTACCTCGCTGCAGATTCTGGATAGGCACATGCTACTCAGCGCCAGAGGCGAGCTCTGTGCCATTTTTCAGTGCCGAGGCCCAGGAAGAGCACGTGGTAGCAACGAGGAGTGCACGCAGAGGAGGGACAGCCCTGCCTTACAGGAGGGGTTTTCCTGAGAGGCAGGAACCACAGGGCAGCGGGGCCACACAGCCTGGAGGAGGGCTAAGCTAACACTTTAGGACTGCTTACGTGAGGTCTGCAAGCCCGGCTCCTCCACAGCGACCCCCGGCCCGCTCTGTGTGCAGGACCCTCGGGCACTGCCCCCGCTCCGAGCTCCCGCTGCACCCGCCGGCCGCGATGTCACCCCGCAGGGTGCCGCAGCTCGGGGCACGTGCCGGGTGCCGCCCCCAGCCATCCCGCCGCTGGACCGACCACCCGCCGCCCCCGGGGCCGGGCAGAGCCACGGCCCGCAGGGACCGGGGTGCTCCCGGAGGCCAGGCCTCGTCCCACGCCATTCTCCAACCCGCGGAGCGAAGGAAAGCCAGAGGAAAGCGGGGAGGGATGCCAGCCGGGCGTACAGAGGAAGAGCTTGAACAGCTTCAGAAGGCAGAGCGCGTCCGAGCCCGAGACAGAGCAGTCTGGAAGAAAAGAGAGACAGAGAGGGAGAGAGCAAGCACGAAGCGAGCCTCGGCTCCCGGCTCGCCACGCCTTGTTTACCCCGGGGCGCCGAGCGGGGCCGCCGCCGGGGAGCCCCTGCCCGGTCCGCTCCCCGCACCCCTTACCGCGCTCCGTCGGGCGAGGCGGCGGCTGCCGGCGGCACTCCAGCCGCAGCGCGGCCGGGGCATGTTGGGCCGGGCGCTATTTATAGCGGCAGGAAGCGCCGCGCCGCGGCTCTGGGGCGCCGCTCCCCGCAGCCCCGTGCGCTGCACATGGCCCCGGCCCCGGACGGAGAGCGGGAGGGCGGCGGGCAGGCCGGAGCCGGGTGCGCGGGGACGGGGAAAGGGCTGCGAGGCAGCCGGCGCTGCGGGCTCCCCGGAGTGGGGGCCGAGCGCTAGTCGCAGCTGCCCCTGTCGCCTCCCGCGGTGCCCTGCCGCCCTGATGGCGATCGGCGAGGCTGGGGAGCGGCCGCGGCACGGCAGGGACGGGCAGAGGAGTGCAGGAGTCATTGAACAGTGAATAGAGGTACTTGCTGCATCCCTAGTAAGACCTGCAGTATGCAGAGGTGTGGGAAGGTCAATTACTTCTCTCCGCATGATGCCCTCAAAGGGATCTGTGCTTCTTATCTCAATTAACTCACACAGAAATGGATTTGCCAGGCAAGTGATAGAGGCTGCTTCCTATTCCTTCTAAGTGTGACTGAACTAGAAAGAAAACTTCTGTTAATGTCTTTGGGTGCAGTGCTGAACTCTTGAATGAAAAAAATGAGCAAAGCATAGGCGATGGAGCAGCTCAGGGATAGGGGTGTATTCTGCATGGCAGCAGGACTGTAGCTGTGTAGCTGTGGGTGCCTGCTGGAGCCATTACTCATCCTGCATGCCTTTCACATCTTGGAGGCATTTCATGGTTTTTATTTAGCCCTTGCATGACCACAGTTCAGTTCAGCAGCTGCATAACACCGCTGTCTAAAACAGGATATTATGGACAGGTGTCCTGAAAAACTGGAGTTTGTTCTTAATTTCTCTGTTGCAATATGTTCCAGCAAGGTCAAAGCCTGAGCAATCTGCATGCTGAGCCAACCTCTTACGATCTGCTTTTTGTTTTTGACCAAGAGATTACAAGGTGCAAAGACAGTGTTAAGGTGAGATGTGCTCACCAAATCGTTGCTGATTTGCATTTGGTGTAAGACTTCAAACACTGCCAGCCTTTTATGTAGGTCATGTCTTTGTTTTTGTGTCATTGCATGCTTGGGGCACTACAAGACAAAAAAACAGGTACTGTGATTTTATCTTTTTCCTCTACCCTCCTTTGCCCTAGGTACGTGACCTAGATTAGTTTGCAAGCAAAAATTATGGAGCTCACAAATGGGAAAGCTGCAGGTAGTCTACGCTTACTGCCTTTATGGAAACACAGACCTAAAGTTCTCCAAAGGGGCTCACAAATCCACATGGGGTTCCTAAATGCTGCATCCTGCATTCGGGTCATTGGTTAGCTGAAAACAGTTCTGAAGTCACGTACAGGCAAGCAGTTTCCTTTTGGCTAGGTAGTAAAGAAATATCATTGATGTGTTTATTCCAAGCTTTGTAAGGGATATAAAAGAAGAGCTCACCCAGATGTGCTTATTTGCCAGCTATGAAGAAGATCTGCACAGGAGTGAGGGACATAGTAACAGCCCTTGAAGGACAGTGTCCTCTCCTTTTGTGGAGCCCACCAAGTGATTGGTCCTCACACTGCTGCCATAACCAAGGAGCTCCTCTGCAGTCTTGATCACTGGTCAGCCTGGCATGCACTGCGGTAACATATGAACCTGCCCCCATCCTTGCTCAGCTCCATCACATGCACTGCAGGTAGCCCCTGCAGCCCAGCTGGACTCAGCAGGGCCCTGAGGAATGAATCCATGCAGGTTGGTTGCTCTCCATAGTCATGCCTGCCCTTTATCCTTCAGCAGGAACTGAAGGGTGATTGTTTAGAGAATCTTTTGCAAAGCAGGGTGTGATTGCCTGTAGCTGAGACTTGATTTCCAGAAAGGGGAAGGTGCTCCAGAGCTCTCTTGCAAGCCTGTATCTAAACCTCATTCATGAGAGAAGCCTGGGAGACTTTGCTCCAGTTTCACAATGAGGACAAAACACACAACAACCATTTTTCAGGGAGGGAACAAAATTAAGTGGGGAGGAATTGACAGCCCAGGAGCCTGGATGTAGTGCTAGACTTTATCCAGCCCTAGTTAGCATATAAAAACACAAGGTATGTAACTGAGACAGCATACAGCAAACTTTTAAAAGTGGCTGCTCTCACAAACATTTCTGATGTGCCAAACTGCTGATGACTTCAAAGGCAACATCTCATACGCCACCATACAAGAAAGCAAACTTTCCAGGGCTGTAGGATATGTCCTTCACCCAACAGCAGCACAATGTTCTGCATTCTGCAGGCCTACGTCATGCTCTCACCCTGCTGTCCCCTGCCCCTGTGGTTTGCTTCAGCTGTGGAAACAGGAACTGCTGAGTCAGCGTGCTGGTGAAACTCACACTGCTCTCATGGGGAGAGGGCTGCAGCGAGGGGGCTGGCAGCAGCTCACAGCCTGCAGGAAAACAAGTACTTACATTCTCTTACGGTGGCCTGAAAAAATAAATAATCCCTTTGCTTAAAAACTCTCAGACTGCAAAGAGGTAGCAGAACCCGAAGTGTAAGTGTGGGGGGAATGATCAGATCTGGCAGATGCCTGCTCACAATCAAGCATTTAGAGTTTGGGAAATGTCATTTTTCTGTTTGCTCTGTTAACAGCTCAGTTATGCTTTGAGCAGCCAAGATGCAGCTGGCTGAACAGACAGAACAAGGCCACCACATTTGACTCATCTGCCTGGTGCCGATAGAGAGCCGCAGCCCGTTCTGATTACGGACTCATGCAGAGGTGAAATTACTCCCTTGGAACCAGTACAAGGTAATGGACTTCTAAAAATTCAACTAACCCCCTCAGAAGAGTCAAGTCTCCCAAGCTGTGCAAGTACAAAAGGGGAAAGAAATTTGGGATGACTGCAGCTCGGAGGGCGAATTGTCGATGATACAGTAGAGAGTAGTTGAAGGTCAGCTAAAGGGATGCGAAGGGGAAAGTTAATTGCCAAACCGTTAAAAAATTGGAAAGAGAATCAGAGTTAAGAAGATGGAGATGTTCCAGAGAGCCATTCTATTAAGGCTATAAATAGGGTGCTATCCACAAGATCTAAGTGAACAAAACCACTTCTAGCAGCAGGAAACTGGCAGCTAAAAGAGGGAGAAGGTAACACCAACCTTCAGCTAAACTGGGGCTGCTCAGTGCAATGCCACAGCGCTTGGATGGCATTACTTCTTGCACTTACTAGAGAAATGTCACAATCAGTGAAGCCACATATCAGTAGAATTGCTAGTTGAAGCTCAGATCTGAAATTTAAATTTGCTTGTTGGGCCATGGGGCAGCAGAGCAACACATGTGATTGCCCAGGTGGTGCCCAGGGCCCCCTGCCTGGAGCTCTGGTGAGACTCAAGTGGAAGAGCCTACAGCGCAGTGCTACAGGGGCAGGGAGAGGCTACAGTGCTGCAAATGAGAAGTTGTCAGACAACATGTACTTAAGCATAAATGGCAAATTAGCTTTGACAGCGGCTGAGACAGCCCATCTACAAGCTCCAAATGTACTGTTCCAACAGATACATAGGCATGCTGACACTTGAAAAGGACAGTAGCAGACAAGACAGACTGCATGCGGGTAAGGGTGTTTCAGTAGATGGATATTAATAACAGAGGCTATCAGTGATACCTAAGAGAAATGTTATCATGAAGGTGAGATAGAACAAACATGAAAGGTGGCTTGCACAATCTGAGTATTCAAAGCAAAAAAAAAAAAAAAGGTGCATGTAAACTTCCCCCTGGGGTGCCCTGTTGATGTTTGGAGGACTGGCTGCACGGAGAGGCAGGAGACAGATTCTGCTACCCAGGAAGAGAAAGTATTTGCTGTTTCCCCTCAGTGCCACACCTTTGAGACATGCCCAGTTCATCAAGACTGTGTGATAGGAAGGCAGGAGGTTTACTGTGCCTCTAAGACAGAACAAACTATCACAAATAAAAATTTTCACATAGGTAATATGTAAAATTTTACATAAGTAATTTCTGAAGTTTCTTTGAGGAAGGGAAAGGAAATGACTACAACATGGCAGCTAGCTGTGCGTAGAGGGAGCCAGAGCTAGAGTGGTGAGCACACACTCACACAGATGGAATTTTGAGACCACTACCCAAAGGGTTGCCTCAAGGAAACCTAACAGAGGTAATGCAGCTACTTACCCACAGATCTTGTTACTTGTTTGTTTTTAAATCCAAAATTCAACCATAGGTTCCCCTAAAAGGATTGTCCTGCCACTTCAGTACCAATCACCATCTCCCAACATAAGCAGCATCACAGGCACTGCTACACTGCAGCTCAGCTCCTGACAAGCTGGTGAGCTCCATAGCTTCATCCAAGGGCTGGAAGGAAGCTTCACTGAAATTAAGCAGAGCTGCAGCAAGCTCTCCATCTGTCAGCAGGGGTTTACCTCAGCATGCATCTCCAGCCATTGTTTACGTTAATGATCATCCAGGGAGGCAAAGATTACCAAAGTCAAAACCCAAAGAGCCAAGCAGAGTGCTACAAGAGAGCAGAGTGCTACAAGTGGTTGACCGACCTGCACAAAGTGTTTTGGTGAGGACTGCAGTTCAGCAAAACATTCCCAAGCTGCCCTACGCACGAACAGAAATGTTACTCAACCGCCTGATTTCCCCCACAGAGGGTTTCAAATGCCTGACCTCTACAGACACGACACATTCTTGTAGAGCACAAACATAAAACATGTTATTTTATTAAACACATAGCAATTGACAGCAGAGTAGTCCTGGTTTGAACAGCGAGCTTGGAAAGATGGGTGATTTGTATCATTTGCTTCATTTGTGCTTATCTGTTTTTAAGAATAATAGGCAGAACTACTCGAACTTCTACACTGTACTAGTGAAACAGACATAGGCTTGTTCCTTGGGTTGACTAAAAACTTTTAGTCTTATTTACTAAAAAAAAAAAAAAAAACAAAAAAAACCCCAACAACAACAACAAAAAAAAACAACCACCACCATTGCAGTATCAGAAGTTTTTGGGCGAAAGCAACTACCCGCTTTTGCCACTAGAGTGAGCTGCTGCTCAACGTTTGAAGGAAGCTCGGTTGAATGGGCGGATATGGGGGGAGGTCCGATCCTTTCGTCATACGCACTTGCATCGGAAGCGATCGTTGCAGTGCTGTGCCGTGCCGGCCTGCTGCTCATAATGCATTCCAGCAGGGCAGGAGGTGCTTTTCAGGGAGCAGAGGTGCGGTTAAGTTATCGTACTGAGCACCCCCAAAGGCAAAACTTGCTCGCAATGCTCATCACTCAGTGTGAAGAGGGACACTGAGGTAGGCTTGCTCTCAGTCTGCATGACAGTTGTGTGGCCACAGAGAGAGCTCAATGATAAAGAAGGGTGAAAAATCTTCAACGTGTCCTTTACCCTGGGCCTGCACAGCAAGAAACAGCAGTGGATCCATTTCACAACAAGGAACATTCCCTCTGTGCTGGATCAAGAGTTCTGCAAGTTAAGAGATTGCAGATTGACACACGAGAGTCGATCACTTCTGATTTGTACACAGAAATCAGATGCTTTACCAAGGAGCTTGAGACACTTCTGCTGGCTACAGCCTGTGTTACAAGAAGCATTTGTGGCACTGCCAGTACAAAAACCACAGAGCAGATATTGAAACCAGCTTGAAAGCTGCTCTAAAGCTGAATACAGATTTGCAGCTCAGATAGAACATATTACTGCTATTGATGTCACTAGAATCATATTTGTGGATAACAAAGTCAGATGGTCTTATTAACATGTTAACATTCCTAATAAATGGTAAAATGGACCCAAATCTGGCTGACAGCCATTCAGCCTAGCAGTAGAGCAAGCGTGTCATTTTGGCAGTGAAACAGCACCAAGCAGAAGCTCTGAAGTGCTAAGCACATTTTAGTATCTCTGCTCGGTCCCGGGGGAACTTCTATGGCTGGCCAGGTTTTAGCAGTTAAGATGCTTTCCAGTCCCAGCCCAGGCAGTGAATAGTTTCCATTTGATGTTCATCCTTGCTGATTTAATTCAATAAGGCGACCAGCAAATACAGCTAATGTTCCAATAATGCAGACTAGCATAAATATTACGAGGAGAAGATGATCGAGCACCATTGCAACAAACTTCCACTCATCAGCCGCCTGAAGAAGAAAGAAAGGAGACAGTAAGATTTCTGCAGAGCTGCATTTGTTACGAATATGATTGGGCCAGAGCACATTTCCACCCTGTAACTCTGCTCTAAGTACCAACACGTCCCATCCCTAATCTCCCTCTACTTTTGCCTTAGGTGCACCACAAGTGGAAGAAGCTGCTGGAATCCATCTGGAGTAGACTGCTAATCGGGAGTGCTTTGAGGTGACTTGTAAGCAAAGGCAATGCCGTGACAGCCTTCAGAAGCCACGGCCTTTGATTTATTTTGGGAATGCGACTTCTGAAATCCTCTGAAAGTGATATCAGTAAAGTCTAGATGACACAAACAGCTGGCTCCACTTCCGATGGGAGCACTTGCCAGTAACCGAAGACCCTCCTTGTATGCGCAGAAGGAAGCAGAGCCCAGAGGCACTGAAACCATGCCAGCCCTGCTGAAGGTAGCACTTGATCTGCAGAGGAGCCACCGGGAACATGAGACTCCAACCGGAGCCATTTACACGCTGCTGGAACGTGGCCACAGGAACAAACACTGTGGTGTAAATTCTGCCTGGGTGAAGGAGAGGCCGGATTATTGTCCCACAGAGGTCCCTTCCCACCTGCAGCCTGTCACCACTGGGCATCCGCTGCTAAACAGCAATAAGAAAGGTGAAGAGCTGATCCTGAGTTATCCATTTAAAAGCTGTGCGAGCTGCAAAAATTGAAATGAAAGAGGGGGTTAATTGCACTGAACGTGCTCAGAGGAGGCAGAGCTAGGCTTTCCTGTGGAAAACTGCCATATGTGACTCTGCACGCATTTATCCTTCCTTTGACTTGTAGTGTGGAACAAGTCAGTAATCACAGCAGCTCATGATGTGTTGTCTCACTTGCAGGGACTGCTTGTAGCATACATGGATTGACACAAATCCTTATCAAAACTGGAATTATTATCTGCAAGTCACACTTCAGGTTTCTCAAATAAAACTACGTTTGAATTCTGCAGCTGTGCTACCTTCTGGCTTTTCAGAAGCAAGGAAGGCCACTTATCCCTGTGGGAAGATGCCCAAGCAGAGGACAGGAGGAATGTGTTATGGAATTGCTTACAGTTCTGGTTACAGTTCTGCTTACAAACTGCTTTGCTACTTGTGCGCCATCTCTGTGGCTTCACACACCCTGTTAAGAAAACCACTTTTCTTTCTCCTTGTTTTCAAACTGAGATTCATTTACCACCTGTGACAATTATCTGTTACTCCTTAATGACCACACCACAGGCAGGAGACTGTCCCCTGCTAAAGCCAAAACAAGATTTGGAGTGTTTTTTTGATGCCTGGGTAAATGAAAAAAAAAAAAAAAAAAAAAAAAAAGATGTAGCAGTATGAGAGCAAGAAATGAATCATGCACAAAGAATGCCTTACATTACTGGATTCTTGGTCTGACTTCATCGTTTCCGCAATGTATTTGATTCCCTCTATAGCGTTTTTCACATCTGGATTTTTGGTAAGTGGGGAGTAGAAATTGACTGGCACAGGACCTTGCTTCCCGGAAATTTCAGAAATATCAATATCTTCTGCAAAAATTTTCTTGTCTAGTTTATCCCTGGATGGTCGTTTCATTGTAGAGAAAAACATGATGTTTGGGATTGTGTCAATAAAGATCTGGAAAAAAAAAGAGGCAGAAGAGGAATACTCCTGCTTGGAGGGGCTGCTGTGCAGATGCAGCTCTGCAATAAACAGAGGGGAGCTATGCCAGTCGCAGATAACTTCCTCTCCTGGACTCACTAGAAATTCCACTTTGGAGTATGTCATGCCATGTGCCACATTTACACCATGCTTTTGTCTGCCTCATGTCCTGGGGCAGGCAGGGTCACCCCATGGCCTGCCTTGTGCTCTCCAAAAGCAGCTTTGCCTATCTGTGTATTCTATACGTACAAATCTGGGCTGTACCACCACTGGTCAGGTTCACACTGCTGCCAGCTGACTGAGCCCATCCAACTTGGGACACAGACCCTAGGGGCCTGGTTTAGGCAATGCACTTTGAGGGGTGTCTCTTAGCTGCTTTTGCTTGACTTCGCTATTACAATGCAATTTGCATGACCTGAAGGGCCTGTCCCCTGGCAGGCAGAAGTGTCCTAGTGTCACAGAGATCATTAGACCAGTAAGATCACTTGAGCCCAACTGACCTACTTTCCTCTCTCTATACCATCAGCTGCCCCTGTATTGCCTCATCCATTCCCTGCAAGGCTCTATCCAGTGGGCAGTTTCGTCACATAAAGGAGCAGCCAGGCTGTGGATGTTCCAATCCCTGTGTTCCCTGTGTTGGATGAGGCCCTGGGCAGCCTGATTTGGTGAGAGGCAACCCTACCCATGGCAGGGGATTGGAGCTCAGTGATCCTTAAAGTCCCATCCAACCTAAGAAATTCTATGACAGAATTCTATGATTCCTTAATACTTGCTGACCTTGAGGAGAAAATCCGCCAACAAAACACACGCTACTCTGTGGAAAAGAAGAAACACAAAGCCTTGGAGCTCACCTTCCTGACCCAGTGTGGCATGGTGTGAGTGCTGGGAGAGCGGTGGTGGGTGTTGATGACGATGACAGTGATAATGATGGAAGCGATGACAAACACCATGGTAAACAACATGTATTTGCCTATCAGAGGCACTGCACTGGAGGTAGAAGGAATCAGCTCCACGATGACCAGCAGGAACACAGTCAGTGACAGCAAGACAGAGATGCTGAGGGTCATTTTCTCACCTGCAATGCAAAAAGAAGACAACATCACTGGGTATGTAGATATTATTCAGTGCTTGGTTTGAGAAGCTTGCTTGTGGACGATGGCTATTCACACACATGTGCTTTTCATGAATCCAGAATGCTCCTATTTTACTAGCTCCCAAAACAGTACTGAATCTGGCCAGACCTGAGCCCCTCACACACCACCAACACCTGCACTGGCGTAGAAATCACCAGGTACAACTGGACTGACGTACAGGTGGTGTGTGCAAAAAGCTTCTTTGCCAGGAGCACCCCGTGGACTGTGGGATTTGATTGATGAGGTGCATGCACCTGGTTAATGACTCCATAGCCTCTTGGGGCTGGCTGCCTCAGCACAACGTGAGCTGACAAAATGTGCATCTGGCGCCAGGGATCAGCTTTCAGTAGGTAGGGCATCAGAACTGAACCAGAAGGCAGAGAGTTTTTTTCCTATCTGCTTCAACTTCATGTAAAGTTCTCCACCAAAAATCTGTGGAGGTCTTCCACAGAAGAGGTTCAATGCAATTAAGCAGGGTGAAAAGCTGATGCCAATGTAAAATGAATAAAGCATAGGAAATGGTTGCAGGGAGCACAAGCTTTCTGCAACAGAGCTGCTCAGCAGAGATGAAGCAGGCCAGAAGAGGCCAGAATTACTCTGTGTCAGTGAGCTTGCAAGTGTGCACTAACCACAAGGTCTCTGCTCCAACACAGTGTGCTCAGGTACTGTTTGACATCCAAACATTTTGGGCTGAGAGACAAAATCAGAACATCAGCTAGCCAAATCTTTGCTCTGCATTAGTCAACTGGATAGTTAACCAGTGTTTTCCATGGAAAATCCAGCCAATTTGTCTACGTGAATAGTTTCAGTTTAATTTGCAGAATGTTTAGAGCTGTTGTTTTGAGCTGAAGCACCAGTTTAGCACATGCAGGCCTTCAAGTTGGCTGCTGACTGCAAGCACTCCAAATTTCTCCAGAACTTGTTAGAAGAGCAATTTCTATGGCAGTAGAATGACTAACCTCACATACCTGAATCTGTGGGTAGATAAAAAACAAACCCTGTCAAAAAGGAGAAGAGCAGGCAGGGGATGATGACGTTGACGATGAAGTAGAGCGGCAGGCGCTGCATGAGGAAGTGGTACGTGATGTCCAGGTAGGGAGTGTCGGGGCAGCAGGCGTAGTAAACCCAGTGCTTCCAGCCACGGTAGTCCTTCATCACCCACTCACCACTCTCCATGAAGTTACTCAGATCGGGGCGATCACTCTCCTGACAGCAAATAAACACAACACCACAGGCCAAAGCATTATTCATACTAGACATTCTGAACAAACTCACATGGTGTGATCTCTCAGGAACAGAATTTGCAATCACTGACGTGCTTTGTGCGTTTTTGTGACTTGAACATCCATTCTTATGTAATTTTTCCTTTCATCATCCCTTGAGCCAGGTTCAACTAAATATTTTACAGAAGGAGTTAGGGATACTCTGCTAACGGGAAAGACCACATAAATATTTACAGATGGAAGACATACCTAGGAAGCAGAAAGTAAGAAAAGTCAGGAGCAGAGAAAAATCACCCTCACTCAACAAGGAAAACAAAAGCAGAATGGGCACCACCAGAAACAGTGGCATAAGGTTGTAAAAAGGACAGGCAGGCAAAATGTTTGGGGAAGAAGGAGCATGGGAAGTAAGTGTAAATAGAATTTTACAAGTCAAACTGGGCAATTTTGTATGACACTTACAAATGGAGCTTTTACATTATACTAGTAGTATCTTGTTCTTCAAACAAGATTATATTCCCTTTTAAACCAGAGAAGTGCCTAAAAACATACCAAGTCTCTGCTGCTTTTCCCAATTACCAAACTACTGCTTACCGGGTTGATAACCACCATTGTACCGTCATACGTCCACGTTCCCAGCTTCATGCTACAGTTCTGCTGATCAAATGGGAAGTATGTGACTATAATTTCACAGTAACTTTTAAAGATAGCAGGAGGTGTCCAGGTGATCTTTCCCGTGTGTTCCAGAAGGACCTTGGTGTATTTAACAATGGCAAAATCACCATCCGCACTGCGGAAGGAAGAAGGATGGTTGCAGCTGCCCGGTGGCCTGAGGGCAGCCAGGCTGAGCAGGCAAAGCAGCCACTGCCCAGGCTGTGGTCCCACCAGCTCTGCTCCCTGCTGCTTACTTGTTGTAAAGGACAAGATCCGGGCGCCAGATGTCATCTGATGGGATGCGGATTTGTTTCACGCCACCATAGTCATCTGGGTTCCACTTCAGGTTGATGTCTGTCCATTGCTGCAAAGGGAGGATTGCAGCTGCTGAGAACTTCTTCCAGTGCTACTTGACACTTCCTAGGGACACTTGCCTCCTTGCTTTGTGCAGGAAAGTATCAACACATCCTATTTGGCCCTCCAGCTCATTTTTGTTCTCACACTAAATTAAATATCAGTTTAAGACACTCAATCCAATTGGTCCAGGGTGCCCCAAAAGTAGCTCACACCTGGCTGTCCCCATTAACTTGAGTGGGAAGAATGGGAGCAATATTTAGGGTTACCTGCTTCAGGCGTACGTTGGTTGTTACAATCTGATTTACTTCATCCTTGAAAGGAAAAAAACAAAGAGAAAGGAAACACAAGAAGCAAGCATTGGGATTAAAGGAGGAGAACGACGCCATTTGGTGATAGCACGCAAAGCGGCGGCTCTGCCTGCCCACTGCCTACCACATTGATGAGCTGAATGAGCTGCAGCCCGACAGTGACGACGACGACATCGCGGTGATTCTCCACAGGGCGCACCACCTTGTTGTAGTCCCGGAACAGGTCGTCGACCAGGCGCGTCTCATGCTCATAGCACAGGGCCGGCCCGGCTGTGTGCAACAAAATGGCATCAGTGGGAGGGGTGGGATGCACCACGGGGCTGTCGCAGGGACATGCTGCACATAGGCAGACCTGCGGCCAGCCAGATCCTGCTCTCTGCAAAGCCCCTTTGTCATTCATGCTTCCCTCCCCATGCTGTTAGAGCAACGTGGCAGCCAGACCAGGTTTTGTGCTATGCTTCATTAGTCCAACCAAAGCCCCTCACACTGCTGCCTTCTGATGGCTGGGCAGGAGTTCAGTTCACTTCTGGGATTTAGTGAAAAGGGTCTAGCATCATAGAACAAGGTCATTATTCTTCTAAAGAACGATTTACAGAGAATCATCCTGGTACAACACAACCAGCTGCAAAACAACCGTGTGTCCTTGTCAACACACAGCTGATGAGATTTTGCACGTCAAGCCACATTTGATAGAGCCTCCCACACATCTTGCAATAAATTTTGAACAAGTGTAAATTGCACATGGCATAAAGATGGCAAACATGAAAACAAACTCCTCACTGCAAAGTATCTGGTGGCTGAAAGTAGAAATATTGTAGCTGCTCCCAGATCACACCTTCATACTAACACCCATGCAAAGCCCTTGTCCCACACCCGCGGGAGGACCCAGCCCAAGGGAGTTGCCAAAATGTGCCACTTACCTGCGGAGAAGATCAGGAGCAGCACACGGCAGAGCTCCATCACCTGAGCCCGCTCCTCTCAGCACCGCCGTGCCGGGGCGCACACAGCGCCTTTAAGGTCGGCCCGGGGGGGCGGGGAGCACGACTGCCCAGGGATTGCCTTACACCACCTGTTCCAGCCGTGACAGCTGAGGGCCGCCGCATCGGCTGTGGAATGGCAGCACAATGCATTGCACCGCTCAGATGGCTCCTAATGGTCACCAAAAGCCTTTTTTTTTTCTGAACGGCACTGTGAGCTGTGGTTAAAAAAAAAACCCACACAACGGACATCCCTAGCTGGGAACAAGGCTACACATCACTCTGTGACCGGAGCAGCTTGCCCAGTTTGGGATTTCCTTTTTCCCAGGGCAAACAGATCAGCTGCTGTTCCTGCTGCACCCTGACCACATACCGGCTGTGTGCGGGCACTGGGATGCTGTTCCCTCTGCTTCATGGGTGGAATTCTGGAGCAGTGAATAAATACGTTCAAGAGATATCCATCACCTAGAATCTCTTGGGGTGCTTATGAGGCACAGGGTAGAGCCCCTGTCATGAGAGCTGCAAGCTAACCTAAATAACTGCAGTGAAAGGGAGAACCTTCCCATAGATGCCTCTGGACTTACTGAGCTGTGCAAAGGCAAAGGGTAGGGAAATGAGACTGTCTTCCATGGCAGGGCAGGTGCACAAATCCATGATGTCCTGAGTGCTGCTCATAGTTCTGGTCAAAGGGCGGTATGGAAAAGACACAGGAGAAAACAACAAAGACCATACGAGGTGCGAGTACAGCCTTTAAACCTAGAGGAGAAGCCAGAGAGAGAAAGGGCTTCGGTGGCATTTGTAAAATAGGCTGGAGAAGGGCAGAAGGCAGTTGGGTGAATGAGTCTCATTCTGTTACATACAGCACGGAGCTCTGCCAAAAAACCCCATAGCCACGAGCCGCGGGGGCTGCAATCACGTCCTGGGGAGCACTGCACAGCCCATCCTTCTGCACTTCCCTCATATCTTCTCTGGAGATGGGCTGCTGCCTGGCTGCCTGGCCATACCCACCACACACGGTGACCTGAGCATCCCTTTTCAGAAAGCATTCCCACATAAAGCTTTCCCAGCTTCGCCTCTGGGTGACACCAGCTGTATTTGTATTTCTCAGAGCTGTCCTCTGTGCTGCCTGCCAGCTGCTCCATGATGGATGCTTTAATTTTCTTTTTTTATGTGTATTTTGTTCTTAAATCCCTCCCCCTCTCACACTCCCTCCCACTAACCAACACCCAGCCTCCATGCTTACATTTTACCCTCACATCAAACCTCCCCATGGCTGCAGCCTTGAGTTCCACCTGCGGCTCCCATTGTCCCTGATCCCATTGCGGAGGGCGATGTGCAGCTGCTGCAGGCACGGCAGCGCCGCCAGCAATGCGCCGGCCCATGGGCACCCTGCCACAAGCCTGCAGGCCGCAATGGGGGATGTGGGGCTGAGGTTAATCTAAAGAATACCAATCATCTTCTGTAACTCCATCAGCACCACTGGCCTGGCCCAGTATCACCTTACTCGCATCCCACATCATACAGCAGTTCTCCCAAGTGGGACCGCAGGCAGCACTTACCCTAAGGGACATCTCCAGGTGTTCACACTTACAGGTTTGAACACACTATTTTTAAAAAAGGTTTGGCTCTCTGCTGGAGTAACTGCAGGGCAGACTGTTACTTCCAGCTCTACACAAAGCAGGCAGCTTGCTCAACTCCTGTGAGGGGCATCACGTTTTGGCCACGTGCTGGACTTCAGAGCTTTCCTTCAGATGCTTTGGGGAAGCCCCACCACACAGCTGGGATTAAGGGAACCGGTGGTGTGGGCAGTGTGTTTCGTTGGTTACCTTCACCTATTCAGTCCAGAAGGAATAGTTATATTCCCTCAGCTCTGTTAGGACACGAGCTCTTCGGAGCGCTGGCTCACAAGGAGACCACTGACACAGCCTTTGCACTCTGTCACTGCTGGCATGCCCCCAGACACTCCCCATGCAGCCAGGATAATATCTGCCACTTGCAAATGCCTCCAAGACCCCATGGGAGCCCCATGGCACCTAGCATGGCAGCAAGTCTTTCATGGCCAGCATTAACTGAGCAAACACACAGAGGTGAGTTTATTTTTCTTCTAGTTCTGAAACTACAGAGGGGCAAAGCACACACAGCAGCGCTCTGCAAAGCATCCATCTCACCTCAGGAAGCACTGCTGACTGCCCAGAGGCCCCAGTGAGCTCTGCTTGGTCCCACAGCCCCTCTGCCCTGTCAGTGTGCCCCAGCAGCTGCTGACTGCATGCCAGAACATGCACTCCTATCACTCGCCTTGCGAGCTCTGCCAGCGCATGTACCGTGTTTTCTTGGTAATTAATAGAAAATGCTGACTTCCTGCAGTCCCTGTTGTGCACCTCTCACCTGCCACACTTTAGGTTGATTTTGCCCCCTTGCAGGCTGGAAGATCTCCGACACATTTGTTTGCTTCATTGGCCAACAGCAAGCTTACAAGTTGTAACCGAGGAAGCAGAAAAACCAACACCATGTCTTCAACTGAAGAAACACTCGCAAGGCCACAACTAACGCATTAAAATAACAACAGCAAGGTGCTGGGATACAGCTGCAGCCAGCACGGCTCTGTGGCCCAGCAGCCCGTCCAGGTGGAACTGAGCGCTGGGCTGCACAGTCTGTGATGTGGCACTTGGGAACATGTGTTAGTGGGCATGGTGGGGTGTGCCGGTGGTTGGACTAGATGATCTCAGTGGTCCTTTCCAACTTTCATGATTACGTGATTCTATAAGCAATGCAGGAGCAAACGCAGCACAGGAGAAACTGGAATTGAAATAAAGAGCTCCAGCTGAACCAGTCCAAACAACAGCTATTTCTCAAATTAGCCCCATTATGAAGTTCATCTCCTTGGCAGACCACAGCCACATCTATGCAGAGGTGTCACAGAGCATTGTGTTTTAAAGGCCACAGCCTGTGTTCCCACCTGGGAACACACAAAGCCTGGGCAATGCCTGCAGCACCTACAGAGCCCACCAACCCACACTGCCTTCGCTGAGGCAGGAGGGCACCCCTCAGGGCCGCCTGCTGCCCTTAAAGCAAACCACAGCAGGTTGCATTTAGCCGGGCCGAGGCTGGCTGTTAAAGTTGCCCAGGACTGAAGGAGACTCAGGTGCAGGTGTTACAGCAAAACAGCTTTGTTCTTAATTAACACTATTAGTAAACCAATGTGACAGCTTCGGAGCAAGGCCAGATCCACTGCCAGCACTGCAGATGGAATGAAGGACTGTGTGGGGGGATTCCCTCCCACCAGAAGGAGAGCAGCAGGCCCCAGCACCCTGCAGGCCCACGGCTGCTTCTCCCGGCTGTGCTAAGGCCTGGCTTCAGCAAGCAATCCTTCCAGCAGGCCTTGTGGTATGCCACCAAATGAATATTCATCCAAAAAAATGCATCATGTTAATAGTTGGGCAATTCTGTTTGCATTTCTGACGCAGCAGTAAAGCATGGAAAAAGAGGCAAAAGCTCTACATTCAAATTGTAAAATCTGTAGCAAGGAAGAAAAAATAAAATCACAGACAATGCAGTGCTTGGAAATGAATCCTGGTTGGCTGCCAAGCTTTTTTTTTCCAAGCAATACTTAATTGCCTCAGGAAATACATTAATCAAGGGGTCCCAGAATCCCAAGAATCATTTTCCACAATCCACCGAGGCGGAGCAATACAGACCTGGGCAATACAAGGAGCTGCGTGCGTCCTTGAGACGCAACGCTTACAGGAGGAATAGGAAAGGATACCAACCAAAAGCTCTTAAACTCCTTGAGCAGCTTATTGACATCACACTTGGGAGAGCTCCGATAAGAACAAACGACACTCTGACCGCAGAGCCAGCAGTAGGAATTAGGGCAGCTCATGGATCCTGCTGTCAAACTGAAGCACGGGTGGCACAAGGAGCGCTGTGCAGGGAGCAGACCAGGCCAGCACAAGGATGCTGTCAGCACCACAGCTCTGCAGCGGGTGCCAGCACTCCTGGCCCCAGCTAGAGCAGCCAGGAGCCTGATGTCCCTGCAGGAGGTGCTGCCAGCACATCCCAGCCTGGCTGCCCATGTCCCCTTGCTGGCACTTCTTGGCCATTAGCCGCTGTTCTCAGCAAGGGGCAGAATATGGGGAGCTCTTTCCTCACATGGCTTGCTCAGCAATCATTTTTACCCACAATGTGTTTCCTAAACCTCCATTCTCATACATTACATAAGCTTTCCAGGTCTGATCTGCAGTTGCTAAGCAGTAATTTTGCATGACTAAAAAAGCAAATCATGATTGCTAGGTTCACTTAATGTTTTTTTTTCCCCTTGTTACAACATAATTGTAGCTATAATACAAACACCACAGAATGCCCATCGCAGGGAAAACCAGACTGAGAACAGAGCAAGTACACAGAGCTGCTTTCTAGGAGCCTTTACCTCCCCCTTAGCCATTGCAGGAAGCATAAGCTTGGTATAGCACAAACCTACATGCAGTATGTTTTCCATTCTGCCAGGTAATGTAGCAAAGCCAAGCTTCTATCTCAATGCCACAGGCATGAACAAACTGTGTGGACAGATCTTCAATCAACAGATTTTTCACCTGGGCTCCCAGCCACACCCCATCACTGTCCTAAGTACGTGTTTCCCCAACAATTCCTGTATTTAATTTTTTTAAGACAGTAATTCCCTGTCTCAATCACTTTGTAAGAATTAACTTCATCTTGCTTTATCTTCTCTGAAAGATTTGCTTTCCCCTAGACATCACTCAGGTCCCCTGACCACCGCTTCCCCTTCCCCTTCAGAAGGCCCAGGATGGTCTCCCTCTGCTCCCAGCTGCTCCCAGCTGTGCTCTCTGCCTGCTGAGTGCCACTGGAGCAGCTCCAACACGGCCACACGGGTATTAGCTGTAAGCATGTGCTGCAGCAGTGGGAACCCCCAGCTCAACTCACCAGCTACAGAGAATGCCACAGGAGCCTCTGTCAAACCTCTCCACCAGCACTCCCCATGCACTCATCTGCGTGCACACCAGCTTCATCTTCTTCCTTCCAGGAGAGCTGCTCACAACCTTCCCCTCCCTTTCTGCCTGGGCACAGGAGGGAAGTATGTGATGCAGGGAGGCAGCTGACTGCTCACAAGAGAGCAGCTGGTTGCAATTCTAAGGTGTTCCTTCCTCCTCCTCCTAGCTGCCTGAGGGGAGGGCTGGGTGAAATCCCAGGTAGCCTCACCTGGCTGCTCTCTTTCAGAGCAGGTAGCAGAGAAGGTGCCCAAGCAAAGCATCCTAGCTTTAGCATCTCATTATGTCTTCCTTTCCCACAGGTCCCTGTCTACATACCCCAAAGACTGATCTCTTCCTCCTACTGCCCTTTTACTGCTAGCCCTTCAAGCTGGGACTTCTGCCATTTTCCTGGGAGCTGCCATTTCACAGCACCTTCAATCTGAAGCCCGTGTTCTGGGATGTATTTGCATTCAACCTTCAGTGGTGTGTACATCTTGTCAGGGCATCTACAACTGTATAGAGTGGCAAACCACAGTGCCAATTTGCGTACAGGCCATTACAGCAGTGTATGTAATCTATGAAGTAGGAGATGACTTGATGGCACTTGGTTTATTTCAGAACTTTAAAGTGTTCCTGGGAAGTATCCTAGCCAATGCAGACAGAAATTTTCAAATAAAATATAAAGAGAAACTCATGGGATCCTTAGCAAAGCGCCAGGCTCCAAAGCATTTAGAGCAGCGGTCTCATCAGAAACAGCAATGCTCTGTGCTGCTGCTTTGAATTCAGAGGCTGTTTGGAGGAATAGTCGATAAGAATGAAACAAACAGTATTTCTGAAACATGCTCACAAAGTACAAAGAAATAACTTTAGAGTTCTAAAGGCAAAATTTAATAAATTAATATATGCATGCCAGATAAAAATACAAAATTACAATTGAAATAGCAATAATAATAAAGGAACACTGCTCAGCATTGCAGATTTCACTGCAACCACCATAAACATAATGGAGGATTACTTAAAAAAGTACACATTTTGTTTCTGTTAAAAACAAATTACTGTATGATGAAAAAAACCTGAAAGAAACCCAAGAAGAAATCAGCCAAAACAGTGGCAGAGAACGATATGAAATGCCAATAAACTGCCAGAGGCTCCATTTCACAGAAGTCGGCCTTCTTTTTAGTATCAGAAACCAATTACATAGAACATAAAAGCAAATTCACAACAGGTTTACACTGAGAAACATGCTGAATTACAACCACAAACTATCCAGAACAAAGATGCCGCACCAGGTCCGCTGCTTTCTTCATGGAATGATTCTCACCAGAGCAGGGAGAACAGGGAGCAGATCATGCAATAGCTGTAGGCGTCTCGTTTTTTATTTTCACATGATAAACACCCAGGATTACTAGTACTGGAAAGTATGTGTTAACCTTTTTCAACATCAGCTGAATGGCACTACAGAAATGACAAAGAGTTCCTTCATTTTTATCCTGAATACATCGAAAGCTCTAGCAAATATGGAATTCAGCAACAAGAGCCATTAAATTACTTTAAAATATTCCTTCATCCATAGAACACTGTTGCTTCCTTTTTTTTTTTTTTTAATTACAAAACCCCCAAAATATTCAAAATAAAATGTCTTCATTTTTTATAAGCATCTCCACCACAAGTCTCTGATAACGGATGTCATTCAGTGCAGCCATCGCATCCAGTTCTGGCGCTCTCATAAGAGTTGGTCCAAACACGATGCCCAGGTTCTCTGCACTCATGAGATTTTCCTTCTCATGGAGTGTTACTCTGTAAGAAAGGACAGAGTTTGTCACTCACTGTGAGATGCTTCCTGTGCAAATAATGACCACATAGCCTTAAAAAGCACCGGGAAGGAGAAACTGCGAGCAGCTTTTTGGATCTGACACATTGAGTGCAAGTGTAAAAATGAGTCACCCTTCTACTTTATCATTCAACTATACCACAAATACAATGTGCAATGTCAACTTGCTAACTGGACTGCAACTTCTGAGCAAGCTAAGGAAAAATCATCTTCATGTGTCACAAGCAGTCAGGTGGGGTCTTTTTTTCTTTTTTTTGGTTCATGCCTCTGTTCTAAAACATCCACTTGAAATGTCACTGGTATAAATGAATAAATGGGCAAGTCAGGCAGAAGCCCTGTAGTTGAATTCTGCCTGAGGTCCTCTGCAGAGTCAACGTATTCCTACTCGTGCAAGAACTATAAAATAGAAGAGCTTAAAATCAAGTTGTTTTTTTTTTTTTTTCCCTAAAGAAAGAGAATAATTCTTATACATTGACAAAAGTTGGTGTTACTAGAGAAACTGAAATGGATACCCTAGCACACCACATGGATTTTTCTCCCCTGCTTTCTGGAAAGAAATAGGGCCTGTGCTGTTGTACTCAATCTCCCACTGTCAGTCTTTCTTGAGTAATATTTAAGCTTCCACCGGAGGGTCGTGGAGGAACCTCACACAGAACCCACGTTCCTACTTTTGAGAAAGTGGCACCTGCCATGAGAGGATCCACGCTGGCAAACCTCACCAGGCCAAGTGACTATGTGCCTAATGGGTGTCAGCTCAGGCCCAGTATGTACTCCCTTTTTAGTGTGTCAGAAACAATCACAGAAAAATACTCCAATCCATAAGCACTAAAGTGCGTTAGTTTCTTGCCCCAGCAGTAAATTACTACTTCCAGAGATAAAGACTTTTTTTAAAATTATTTTTTAAACTTCTTAAAAAAATGTTTATTTAAAAATAAATGTTCACTGAAACTTAAAAAATAGCACAGATTTGGCAGGCGTGACTTTCTTGCTTCAAAGCAGCGGCCTTTTTTTGATTTTCATCCTTCAAATACTTTGTGACCACTTTAAGTGGGGGTAAACATCAGTGCTTGGGGGATAGACTACCAGTGAATACCCCCCACCACAGCCAGCCTCCAGGGGCAACTTCAAATTTGCAGAATTTGGCGTGCCTTGCCCACTTTCCTAGAGGTCCTGACGTGGACTTTGCTCTGCAGACAGCCTACTTACCTCTTCAAATGTGCCATGAGATACCTCAGTGTTTCACAGTGTGCAGGTGGCAGCAGTTTCAGCGCCTCGTGGAGAATTTCCAGCTGTTCATCTGGATCGGTGGTTTCTGAAACACAGATGTTCACGGTCACCACACGCACAGCCAGAACTCACGCACGGCAGGACGGGAATGGTGGCCTGCAGGAGAGCCGGACCTCACGGCTCTCTTCATTTACAGGACCTATCCAACCTTCATCATGGAAGATCTGCTCACCCAAAGCTTAGAGCACAGTCAGGCTGTGATTGTTTTGGACAAAGAAAGCTCCCCCCAAATTGTGCTTGACTAGAGGATTCCATGCAGCCTATTGAAAAGAATTCCCCTTGCAGACCTTGCTGACTGGACTAGTTTTTTCAAGAATAATCCACAGGTGTAGCCCTGGAACAGCAGAAGCTACTGGGAACCTTGCCATCAGCTTCTCTGGCTGTCCCCATTCTGCTTGGAAAGAGCCTTCTCCAGGGCGGTGGCAAGCCCAGCATCCAGCCCTTCGCTTCTTCCCACAGCTCTCTCACACCTCTCCAGGTGGGCCTGCTAAATGCCAGAGATGGCTCATGCAGCTGGGATGCTTGGCAGAGATGCTCCAGCCGGGCTTGTTGCCCTGCTTGCAGACTCATCACCTGTGAGACCAGCCTTGATGGTGGCCTTATGGTGAACGCTTATCAGCCTGTAGAAACAAATGGCTTCTTATTTTTAAGCATTTTCATAAATCACCTTCTTTCTAACAAGACAAAAACAAAGACTTCAAATATCCCTGTCAAGTACTAGGAACTCACGCAGCATGTGCAGAGGGATGGAATCCACGATGTGTGAGGGAAAGGAAACATCGCTGGTAAAAAAAGGGGAAGACAAATGTGCCCGCAATCATGTAACACCACACGACTGTGTTGCAGTGTGTAACACCTCCTAAATAGGGCATGCAGAGGAAGTTTCACGGGGACAGCCATTAAACCAGCAGGCGAGTCATGCACACAAAGGAGAAGAAAAAGAGAAAAGTGCATTACACATACTTGCAGACTCTATAAACTTTGGGTAGGCATCATACGTGATGAGTGGAATTGGCAAATCCCTGAAGTACAGTTTAAGTGCACCAGTGATAATATTGATATCTTCATACATATTCACAGAAATATCAGCCTTCTCCCCATCTGCATGGAGAAGGCAAAGGCATTAAACCTTGGAAATACAAACAGATGTAAAACAGCATTCAAAAAAGAAAACAGTATCCTGCTTAAGTAAACATTATTAAACTGGACAAAACTACAGCCTTTGGATTTATAAGCAAAACCTTGTTATTGGTTTGCAAAGTTCATCATTTCGCAGTCGAGGCTTTTTACTCAGAAACATTTCTTCACTTAAAATGATAAAAAAAAATGCCATCTCAAGCACTATGCTATAGAAACGTGTGGAAGTTGAGTTATTCCTGTACACACTGCACTGCCAAACAACACGTTTGTCAGCACTGCATGAGAAAGTAGGGAAAGTCTGAGGAAAAAAAAAAAAAAAAGCACATGAAGTCATCTTTATCCACAGTCTCCCCGTTTCGTAAGAAAAACATGTGTTCACCATTTAGCTACAGCACACTACCTACTCCTGACCGCAGCGGACATGGATCCAAAACTTGGCTTGTGCAGCACATCCCCACCCTGCTAAGGCTGCAGAGGAGGCGGATGCTGTGTGAATAGGTCCAGCTCTCCACTGAAGCGAGAGGGAGAGTTTACAGAATGGATTTTGGCCTTGATTTCTACTGGGATAGAGGGACTGCAGCTGGAAAGCCTTTAATTGTCCTACTGCCTTCTGTCAGAGAGAAGAGTTTGTCCTCACTGACTTCCTTTAGAGTGTAATAATTCAAACTTTGTTTGCATGATTGTATTTATCTTATTATTTTGGAGCTTTCATCCAGAAAGGCATTTAAAATGCACAGCCCTCTTAAGGCACTTCATCACGTGCCTTGTCCTTCCCCCACCCTGCTGAATGCAGTTTTACTTGCAAACCAAAGCACTGCTTTAGAAAGTTTTACCACTTCTTATATACAAGGTCAATAAGGACAGATACTGATGGAAGAAGAAGAGCAGATTCAGTAATAAAGACTGAAGAGAATCTGATATGCTTTTCTGATGGAGCAGACCCCCCTGCCCTTCTGTCAGCACAGCCCCCCACTCCCTCTGACTGCTGGCACAGCACAGCATGAGGCAGGAGAGGGCTGCACAGAAAGGCTGTGTCTATTTAATAAGGCAGCACAAGGGAAGAACATACCTCTGTCAAATGCCATTTTGACATCTTCAATAAGATCACTAAATCCTGAAACTCTGTACAGTCCTTCAGAATTAAGACCTGCAGGCAACATTTCAACAAGATTAAAATCAGTATGAATTTTACAGTTTCCTTCCACCCAGTCCTTTCTTTGCCAGGTTCTTCATTAAAGGGAAGAAAAGCAGACCAGTTAATGGCCTGATCAGGTTTTTCTTAGCCTGAAATGAAATCTTAGCCTGCCCTTTTAACTCTGACGCTTGCATTACCTGCTTCCTCATATCAGCACTGAATTATGTTTATGCAAACGGCTTCAGAGCTGAAGACACATATTAAGCCAATTACAGCAGATTCAAAAATAACTGAGATTAGCATATGAGATGTTCTGTCATCATTTCAGAGTGAAAATAAGTATTCTAATTCCAGAAAAGGATATCTGTGGACTATGGGAACTGGCAAGAGGAAACACGTCCTCACTAACTGGCTTTGATTCCGGTACATGCACTTGATTTTTTAATAAAAATATCACTGGAAAGACACGTGCTAATATGTAACAATCAAGTTAACAATCAAGTAGTAATTGTCCATTAAGCAGATCTGAGCAAAATCTATAAAATAATAAACATGTACGAGCCATGGAACAATGCAAAGTATAACATTAACAGTGGAGGGTAAGTGGCAGCCATAAAACGTCGTGTGCAAATCTGTTTGGAGCAATCATACGCTCAGCAGAAACCCAGATGACCCAGATCAATCTAAACGGATTATCAGTAAAGCAACAAGAGCCCATTAACTACGCCTTACCTCGGGATTCAATCTCCCTAATGCACATGTCTACCACCATGGGTCTTTTTGTGAAGTGCGCTTTGACTAGAGTGGTAAGGTCACAGCTGTACACTTTTTTGACGTGCTTCAGGTCTGGCTTGCAGTCATTTGGGACCATCTTGGAACACTGCTTGTGCACATTTAAACCACAGTCTGAGGGAAAAAGCAAAGGAAAATTAGGCTGGTATTTGGTGAAGATGGATCCTGAGGCCAGGGCTGTCAAGCATGCAAAGATCCTGACCTGATCCTGCAGCTGCAGCTTCTGCAGAGCCACAGGCTGGGTGTGCAACCATGCTGGCAGTCACCAGGACACTTTCATTCATTTAAAAAATGACTTTGGGAGGACATTCCATTTACTTATTTATTCATTTGTTCATTCATTCCTTTATTTTTATTTTTAAGCATGAACTGCTCTACAGCAAAAGGAAGATGAGACTTAGCCTAAGTGAAGCTCAGTTGAAATCAGATTATGGAAAAATGTTTCTTCTGTTCAAAACCACACAGAACATACTAACCAGTGTTTGGGAAAAAAACCACAACCTTACAGGAAACCAACACTGATTATACAGCACAGCCCCTTTTCAGCTAAGCACAGGCCACTACCTCTGCCATCAGCAGTGCCCAGCCAGCAGCCAGCGCCCTGAGTTCACTGCAAGTTCTTCAGTTCTGCAGTGGAGACCTGCAGGCATTTGGGAGGGAGCAGCAGCCAGCAAGAAGCATGGCACGGTGCAGCCATGAACACATGCGAGCTGCAGCCGGCATTCAGTGAGCCCTCAGCCCTGCCCACATCTCCGTGCGGCTCTGCTGCCTGGCCCAGCTCCCTGTGCTTCCACAGCAGTGGAAAGAAGGGACGTGGAAACCTGAAACATCAACAGCTTTCTGCAGAGGCTCCCCTTGGCTTCTGCCAGCAGTTTATTCACATTACTGCAAAGAACCTCGGAGCACATCGGCCAGTGCGGTGAGGGCGGCTCTGCCGGGGCTTTAAATACCACCAACACTCCATTTCAACGGAGCTCTGACAAATCAGGTCCCTCAGGACTATAAATAGGGAGCCCGAACTCTTTGGAAACATGTGATCCAAATCCTGCAGTGTAATCCTCACTGCTTCAGCTCTGAAATGGAAAGGGGATGTTCTGGCTTTCTCTGGCATAGACATTTGCTGGCTGTTTGTGGGAATGCAGAGAAGTTCCTCACCTTTTGGAGCAGGGTTTGAACGCTGTGCTGTCAGGGCGAGCAATGGCTCCACTTTCAACAGCAAGGAGAAAACAAAATTCCAAGTAGAACTAGCAAGCCAGAACCATCCACTCTGCTTCCAGAGCCTGGATCAGCAGTGGAGGCAAAACAACATGGAGCCTAAGAATGAGGCACAATGCCTTAATACACACATGGAAAGGAAACATCCTGACATCCCACAGGAAATCTTAATTCTTGATTTCTCTGGTTTTGAAGCCCTAGATTTGCAGTAGAAATAGTATTTACGACTGCAAATATCAGGATTGTACATGAATTCCTAAGGCTGCTGCAAGGAGCACCTGTTCCATCAGAGTGAAAAGGTCGGAATATTAAAATATTTCTCATAGCATAGAAATGCTATCAATGTCTGTCAAAACTGCTCTACAAAACAGTCTACAAGACTGGAATGGTTCTGTCTTACTCATGAGGACTCACTAGTCATTGCAAATTAGCCACTTCACATGAACAGCAATATAGCTTAGAGTTACGTTTCTGGGAATCCAAGGCTAATTAAGACTAAAATATATAAAAATAGAAAAACATGCTCCCAAGCATCTTATACTTGACTTAAAGCAATTATCACATTCACTGAGCTCTTCCTAATTATATTTACATACAAGAAAGTTTTATTTCATTAAAATATCTAATTTACAGAGATGTTTCCTATGTGAAAACCTTGCTTCTGAAAATAATTGTGTTACTGCTAATCCCACAGACTCAAACAGGCTTTGGATCTGACCTCATTAATGCCAGAATTACAACAGAAATAGTCAACTTTCCTTCTCTGTCTTTTGTTCTTCCTTTACACTTGATTGGATTTCATATACTGACCCACTGCTTAAGGGCTTACAAACACTCCTGAGAAACATTTAAACCTAGAAATACTTCAGATACTGAATGCTTACAAAGCACACGAGCACTGCTTTCAATAACATCATTGGGCTGTGCAGTACCTTTCTAACAGTCAAGGCTCTTTAGCTCTTATGTGAATGTAGAAGACTCACTCACTTTATCACTTGAAGCAATATCTACTTGTGAGAGACTCCAGTGTATCTGCAACAGAAAAATGCTACTCGTTACAACAGATGAGCTGAAACTCTGGTACTGCAGTTCGTATCAGGTGGATCCCTCTCCTGAGCTAACAGCCATGTCTCGGTCACTGGTCTCTGACCAAGCTGACAGCCAGAGTCATGCACGGCTGAAGGACGACCGTCTGTCTGTCTCGCTAACTCAGACAAGGCAGAAAGCACGTGGCCACAAGGTCAACCCTCCGCTCCACAGAGCTGTGTGCGACGTGCCAACCTTCTGCTCTACTGATATCCAGCTTACTTGTTAGTACTAAAAGGGAGCAGTTACACTGCAAATTGCGTATTATTAAATACATCTGCCCTCTGCTCTCACTGCAGATGCTTCATCAAGGCTCTGAAACCCGTTATTTAAGAATTAGCTAGAAAGAAACAGGAAAGCCTAGACCTGATTTCTCTCTGTGCCCTTCTGCATGGCGAAACTTCAGGTGTGCCTGCCTTGTCTGCATGTATCTGCATCATCTGGCTGGGTTTGTTAAGAATCACCAAGATCCTATTGATTTCACTCTTAAGGTCTATTTACTTCTACTTACATAAAAATAAATCCATAGTAGCTAAGTTGGCATTAGCAGCTTTACTCTTGATCTACTGCAAAGTAACAAGGAACCTTATCTGTTTCTTACAAAGTTCGCCAGTGCCTACCCACTGACTGCAGCAAGAATTGCAGAGGAGAGAAAGAAAAACCCCCATAAGCATAATATCTGCCAATAAATCCTATAATGAAAGGGCAGATTTAAAATATGCACTCACGACCCCTGGCAGGTCAACAGGGAAACTTCCACTGACTTCAGTTAATCAGAATTTCACCTTTACAGAGATCATTTCTCCTGACCCAAACCGTAAGTCATGTGTGCCATTCCTTTTTATACTGCTAGCAAACTGTGGCCACCTTTCAAGTATACAAAATGAGTCCAAAAAAATGCTGTCATAAATTCAAGAGCACACACGAAGCATGGAAACTTAGGAAAAGAGTCAGCTTTAGAAGTCAGTGATAAGCTACCCTGACTTTAATAGCATATTGATCTAGGAGCTCAGGTGGGCTGTGACATTGCTTCTGTGAGACCCATTAAATCTAAAACCAGCCTGACAATACTTTCCCATGATGCCCAGAAAAAGGCTTTGTAATGTTTAAGAAACAGCTTATACTGATGTTAGTCCACTGGGCTGAAAGGACAAACAAGGTGTTCATATTAACGCATGAGCACAGCCAAAAGATATACATACTGTAATATCACCCCATGAGCACACATCACACATATTTGCAGAGACTAAAATATACTGAGCTGTCACTTTTTGTTATCGGGCTGATTTGATTCTAGTCAGTTTTAGATTTCCTTTGGTTTGATATACTGGGTAACGTGGTTGCTGATCAAGCTCCTCTGGAATTATACCATATGCTACAATACATCATTCTAATTAGATTTTTGAATTATCTCGAAGAAAAATACACACATTTGGTCAGTCTGACAAGAAGCTTCATGAGCCCAAAGGTAGACGTATCTTACCTGCAAAAAGCCTGCAAGATTCACTAGAGGTGGGCGGTAAGGGTGGGAGCAGTGGCACAGCACGATGCCTTGTGCAGGACCACTCACTGCAGCCCCCGATGGCCGTGGCAGTGCCAACAGCTGCAGGAAGCTACCTGAGAGCAGGTGATGGGTTCTACTCATGCACAAATTATTGGTGTCGTTACACTTGCAAAGGTGAAAAGGCTGGAAAGGAATTTGCTCTCATCAATCAGTCATGAGCTAGAAGCTTTTTAAAAATTTAGTGCCCTTTTCTGGAGTAAGGAAAGCAATGTTTTCTATTCCCTCAGACCCAGTGTGTGTGAACGAGCATGTAAGAGCCCCAGAGGCACTACGAGCTGCACTTCATGCTGCCAAGCACAGGGCACATGGCACAGGGCTGTGCTACGAGGGTCTGCTCTCCACAGCAGGGCTGTCTCAACCACCAGACAACCTGCCCACTGTGCTGCCCTGCCTCACACGCGCCATTTGTCAACCTGCAACACACATCTGGGGCAGCCTTTATCCCACCAGAGTCCAAAGCAAAACTGTTGCTGCAAAATTGCTTTCAGACATGCACGTTGGATCCCTGAAACCTGCTAGCAGTCATACCACTATATGGTGCACGATAGGGTACATAATTCTTTAGGAAGCAATTTCTAGAGGACAGCTGGTTACTTGGCAACACATTTTCCTTATACTACAGAAAAAATCTGGGCTTATGAAATAGAATAAGAAAATAAGCCTCTCAAACTAAGCCAATCTCCCCTTGCCCCAATCAAAAGAACACATATGCCTGTGCTGCAAAAACTGACTGCAGAACAGAGGTGAGATGTTCTTTCTAGAGAATACATTTGGTGGAGGAGGTTGGATTTTTATGGAAGTTTTGAAAGATCACAGGCAATTTGGTCAGAAACTTCCCTGGCTGTGGGCCATGACACCTGCCTACCTCCTCAACAGCTTCCCTGCTGGGCTGCTGGCTTGCTCGAGGCTCCCGGGTCTGCGTGGGCTTGGAGATAAAGCCGTTTTTAGGACACACAGTTTCAGCTTCCCCATAAGAACAGCTTCCCCATGGGAACAGCTAGGCTGCACTGCCTGATTAGCATTTAAAACATTACAGCTCATTCCTCAAAGGAACACCACCAGATCCCGTGCATCTCCTCCAACGGCATCACCACCTGCATGAGGTGGGCTGAGCCTGTATGCCAAAGAGCCCCCTTCCCACAGCCCTGGCCCTGAACTCTGCCTCTTGCTGCTCTGCTTTGCTCTTGTTCTGGCCTCTGTACAGTCAAGGAACCCAGCAGAACCTGGGTGCACATCTCAATTCTGGATGTGCTTTTAAGGAACAAGTGCAGGCAGAATGGGAGTTTATCACATCCAAGGCATGCCAGCTACCCTGAGGGTGGGCAATATGATGGGCACAACAGGGCAGCTTCCCTGCCTTCCCATTTGTTGACATATCAACAACAAGTGTATCAACTGTTTTTCTAGCCATAAAAAGCACGAGCACTGTGCCTGTACAACTGCTTCCTGAGGACAAGTGGCTTTCTTTGGGGTCTCCTTCATCTTCACACATCAGTGGGACAAAGGAGGGTTGTCCACCAAAAAGGATTTAGCAGCAAGACAAAACAAATGCTCAGCCAGCATCAGCTGCTTGTCCCTGCAGTGATGGTCCAGTTGCAAATTTACTTCAACCAGCTATTCAGAAAAAGGTCAGCTACTCCAAGGAAAGCAGAAGACAGGTAGCAGCTCCATGGACAGCAGGCTAAGACTGCCCAGAGGAAGCCTAGCTAATTAATGATTTTACAGCAGCCTGTTTTAAAAAAACCAGCTGATTAAATCACTTAAGAACAATAAGCAAAAGGGTATGAAGGAAGGAGATGATTACACAGTGCCTTGAACACTTCTGATGGGCTATGGAAGGAACAGTATGTATACAGCCATTGACAAGTCTGCTGGTCTACAAGCCTGCTTGGAAGTACACCAATGCAGCATTAATGCCTTTCTCTAGGCTCTGATAACACACCAGTCTCCATAAATATTTCTGGGTCTTACATGTTTATACCACTCACAAAATAAACTCTCTAATGCTTCTCTGCAAGTTTTCTTTGGATATTGTTCCAGGTTCTCTTTTGAACACATTCTGGGCAATGGGATGAGCACAGTAAGCACAAGGAGACTTACATAGGAGAAATATAATTAAAAATACGTTTTTTCAGTTTTTGTATTGAATTTGGAGCTGAAGATACTCTTAAGTCTTCATTAGCTTCTGCTAAGCTTCAATGTTTACACAAGCTGCTGGCATTATAATTTCAAACACTTCTTCAGTTATTTCTACTTAAGGCAAAAGCCCAGAGGAAAGCATGCTGGATGGAGATGGAGCTGGAGCACGTCATCAGAAAACACAGACTCTTTGCATACAGATGAGCCTTCAGCTCAATAGAATTTTAAGGGTCTGTGGCTAGGATGCAAAAATTGGAATCATGACCCTCTGAGACAGTAGGGTAGAGGCCTGTGTTAAGGATTCACTCTAAACAAGCAAACCCTTCTTTCAAGAAGCTGAGGAAATACAGATAACATTTCAGAGAATAAAGTTGAAGGAAAAAGAAATTTTTCCCCTTTTGCTCAGGATATATTTGCAGCAGAAGTCAGACTAAGTGCAATTGATTTTCCACAGCGTCCAAAACCTGGACATGACCCTGACTCTTAATTTTGGAACATAAAATCTTGCTGTGTTCCATCACATGCATTAATCCCAAAACATTCATAGTCGAGACAGGATCCAGCGCCTTACTTCAGCTGATAACCACAGCTCAGGTGGTAGGGATGGTGGCTAAAGTTATCTCTGGTCTTTCTGGAAGGGAAAACACATGTCCTCCATCTGCACTAAAGCGTGACCTTGGATGAGCCATGGAGAGCCACCTCCCAGAGGCTAAGTATACCAAGCAGTGCCTGAAAAGGCACAGAATGCACTCAACGTTGTATTTTGGCTGAGGAGGACACATTCAGTCATATTGGCCTGAAACAAAGCCTGAGCCAGGGCAGTTCAGGTTGCTAAGGCATCCTCACTGGTTGCTATGGCATGTGTATAGTTGCGAGTATTTGGTTCTGGCTTATTATTTTTCAAAGGATAGGCTTGTTTGCGTAACAAAAGCTAATCCATCAGCCATTACAAATAAGCTCCACTTTTTCCTCCGGCTCCTCCTCTTCTGTTCTCAAATGGATGACATTTATCTCTGTTGTCGGGTCTTGGACTGTCCCACACGCCTACTGCAGCATGTTTTTGTGCAGGAATGGTTGAGTGTAGCCCATGCAGTAATCCCTTTATATTTGTCAAACTTATCACTTCTGTACAGCCAACAGATTCCTCTCGAGATATGCAACTGTCTGCTGTAAAAAGCAAATGCTTAAAAAACATAAAATTACATACGATCAGTGCAGTTTTGCTCATAGGTATTTTCAATAAAATGATTACATACACCACAAAACAGATTTTGTGGATTTCCCTGGAGTGCCATCGAAAACCTATCTGAATGCAAGTGGGCTGCCTCCTGTTATAAGCTGTAGTTTTTCTCTGAAGCATAAAGCTACTCTGGAAAGCAACGGCCTTGTATAGCTCCCTATGTATGTGCCTCCTTGTTTCCACATTAAAACAGCTCAGTTCAGAAGCAAAACAATTAGTTCTTTTTTTTTATTGTTTGTTTTTTAAATTGATACCTATGCACACTCTGCCAAAGTGGTGGCACTCCAGCCAGGGCTATGGTGGCACTGGTGGCTCTCCAAGCCATTCAAATGGGAATTTAAAGGCACCTCCACACAGGAGACTCGGGCTCTGCTCAAAGGGTGTTTGCCCATCAGTGGCTGTAAGGCTGGCTGAACAGTACCAGAACCACCTCTCCCACATCAGCCACCCCAGCCAGCCAGCGTTGTTGTACAATGTGAGATTTTAAACTATGGAAAAGGTCATCGAAGGTGCTGGAAGCTACCAACACCAACATGAAATCTTACACAAGACAGAAAGCCCTAATTACAGTTTCTGAAACTATGAAGTCATCTAATACACATATGTTCCTCTAGACTGTCAAGGAGGAAAAAAGGCAGGCAGTACTCATTGCCATCCCCATAAGGAGGAAAGAAAACTGCTCCTCAGAAGCTTTTAGAGAAACCTGGTGAAACAAGAGAATCAGCTCCATCGTAGTTAGATTTAAAAAAGCATCACAAACACTTTCGATTTAATTATAACAACAATATTGTTAATTTCACACTGCCATGGAGCATCGCGAGCCTTCAGCTCAAAATGCTGAGCGTTTCAACAGGCCAAAACTTTGCACTCTACCTTAGGTGCAAAAGGAAGATGGCACATGAGGGCAAAAAATAAATGCCTTATTCAGAGAATGACTCAAGAACAAAATCATGTTTTTTCTTTCTGTTCTAGCACTGTTCATACATCTTGTGCAACATTAAAAGCAGTGAGAAGCAGTAAGAGTTTTAGCGCAACAGTGGAGGAGGCGGCTGCAAATAAATAGGGGGGGAATACCAAGAAAGAAAAAAAACATTTTTGCCTAATCACTTCTTAAATCTACACTGTTTACTGGACAGCACAGATCTGCTGATAATGGCAGACTATTGTGTTTCAAATAGTTCTGGGGGGAAGATTTTAAAATATCTCAATTCTGTTTGTCCATTAGTTAATTTTTATTTTATTTTGGAGTTCTTTGATAAAGACCTCCGTTATTTGCTTGAGACTTCAGAAAGCTTTAGACAAGCAGATTTCTTAAATTAGCTTGAAAATTCAGTTTCCAGGGCAACATATGCAGGTCTTTATACATCAACATTTCTTTGCACCACTTATATAAATGTGGCTGCTCAAATGTCATAAGATACTTTTAAATTCAGTAAACTATTCTGATCACTTTCATCCTTTTCTGCCTTTGAAAAAAGCTGAGTGCCCCTTCTTTTCAGAAGAATCACATCCATAAAATTGCTAAACTGTTTTCCTTTGGAGAGGCTTAGTCCCAGAAATGCCTGCAGTGACAGGCACGTGTGTAACACATTTATATCAGCACCTGAACGCTTATGCAACATTTTTGCTCACCTCCCTTATTCATCATCCTCTTTCTTACTATTGTATTAAGTTTGCAGGCTCAGGAGGTGACTTAGGGTACTCTGGGAGTCCACTGCACTAAACAGAAAACAAATTCAAATGCCCATTTCACAACTGCAATGTGAAATTCGCTGCTTGCCCACCCTGCATACAAAGATTCTCAATAAGGCTCTGACACCTACTAGTAAATGCAATCAATTGTAAAGGAGACAAGGTAAAGAACACATTTACCTATTTTCTCTCTCATTCTGCTATTTCCCCCACAAGCACTTAAAAGGTGCTGTGCTGTTACCAACACGGGGACCTGAAACCCTCAGCAGCATTGGGAGTGTGATTTTGGCAGGGGTCAGATCACACCCTTGCTGCATGGGTGTATGGTGAAACGTGCTGCAAATACAACAGTGACAGCAATCGGGGTGACTCAAGTAAAGGAGAGGGAATGAGCATTACCTGCACACTTGACTCCCTGAGCAATGAGGCCCCACATAAAGTTGGCGCAGTACTCACACCAGTGCGGGCCCCTGAACGTGTGCACCTGGAAGACAGCAGCAGAAAAGAAAGTTACAGAGAATAACAACTGTTTCACAGACATCAAAAGCAAAGTGTCTCAACAAGCTAGAACTTCTCTTAGAAGGCACTGCATACATTCACTAGAAGTTTCTCTTTACCATTGCAGGAGAAGAAGAAAGAAACATTCAAAGGACTGAACAGCCAAAGGGCCAGCAGTGCTGTGGGAAGGTGCTGCCCATCCTGCACCACCTGGAGCAGCATGACTGGTATTGGGGTCTGCTCTCATTCTGCACTGTTGTAGGATGAGCAATGATGGTGCTCCCATCCTGTCTGCTGGCACCCCTTGGTCCGTGCAGAATTGCAAGG